TACTCATATTAACTCGTATCTGCTTGTGAGTCATTCGTGTCAGGTCATGAGCAGTGGGACCAGACAGAGAGTCACAGATCGTGGGAGATCGTGACAGATGGCAACACATCTCAAAAGAGCGTGCTATTTGTCTTGTCCACGATTGATTTCGACCACTATGATTTCTTAGCACGATTAGATGCGATATGTTGCGCTTTGTTATGATGCAATACTATCTATATGATCACAATTGACAATAAAATTGTGTTGATCGTAGAAAAGTTTTGAACTGTCCAAAATGTTTCTATGATCAACACGTTTGCCACGACTGACCTCAAGATCTGATAAGATTTGATAGGATTGCTACGATTAGTCCACAATTAAGACCACAATTTCAATCATGCCACAAATCGCTATAGTGTAAACATAGCATCTTGGGTATCCATCACAACAACTACCGTTTCCATTGCCAAGTCTGTGGAAAAGGGTATCAACAACTATGGAATTTCGACAGTTCATGCTCTAAAATCCATGCAACAAGAAGACAAAGTCATCAATATCCCCCGCAATGGCAAAATACTCTTCATGATTATGTCTACGAGTTATGATTATGTCAGATATTTAGGTGTGTATATAGAAAAGTGGAAGGAGAGCATTGAAAGGTTTTTAAAGTTCTGCTCCAAAAAAGAGCACTATCACCAATTTCAGTCTAATTCAAACTTGTTGCCATGGAAACGCCAAAAATATTTTATTCAGAATTCCAAAACTACCAAAAGGCACCAGTACACCACCAGACCAATCTATGTGCAAAGTTTGGTGAAGAAATAGTGAACGGTTTTAGAGTTCAGCTCCGGAAAAGAGCACAACCACCAATTTCAGTGTAAGTCAAACTTGTTGCCATGGAAATGCCAAAATATTTTATTCAGAATTCCAAAACTACCAAAAGGCACCAGTACACCACCAGACCAATCTATGTGCCAAGTTTGGTAAGAAATAGTGAACGGATTTAGAGTTCTGCTCTGGAAAAGTGTACTACCACCAATTTCAGGCTAAGTCAAACTTGTTGCCATGGAAACGCCAAAAATATTTTATTCAGAATTCCAAAACTACCAAAAGGCACCAGTACACCACCAGATCTATCTATGTGCCAAGTTTGGTAAAGAAATATTGAACGGTTTTAGAGTTCTGCTCCGGAAAAGAGCACAACCACTAATTTCATTCTAAGTCGAACTTGTTGCCATGGAAACGCCAAAAATGTTTTATTCAGAATTCCAAAACTACCAAAAGGCACCAGTACACCACCAGATCTATCTATGTGCCAAGTTTGGTGAAGAAATATTGAACAGTTTTAGAGTTATGCTCCGGAAAAGACAAATGTGCACGGACGGACGGACGGACGGATGCACGCACACACGGACAGAGTCCATTTTATTACCCCCCGAAAAACGTGTTGCGGGGGATAATAAATAGAGAGGGTATCGGTACATTTCTAGACCCCTCTGCCAAATGGCAAAACCTGATATACTTGCAAAATAATGAAAATGCAAGGGAAAACTTACCATTACTCTTGCGCTACATGTTCGTCTTTCACTGTCCAGCGAGGAAATAGCAACTCCACATTTCGCATGGACAGCGCTTCCACCCTGTGGATATGCTATCTCAAAAGGTGTGTAGCAACACATGGGCGGACAGTATCCGGTTGCAACTTGACGTAAACTGTCTGTATTTCAACACAGTGAAGAACATAATCACAAACTGTGTGCTGTTCACGTTAAAAACGTATCATTCTCCCAGCCAGCACGCAAATATCCAAATTGTATGACATTCATTAATATGCACGTGCAAATTTTGAGTCAAGCTGTCTCAACGGATGTGTTTTGAAAGGTGCATGTCTTTTTTTAAATTTCTGAATATTTTTCCAGTGTGTGGCACTTTCTGTGACTAATATCACAGTGTTGCACTAATATCGCAGTGTTGCATACTGGAAGGATCATTATCATCACCCTCGTCATCAATGGTTTGTATGTTTTGTGACAGGTCTGAAATTACCAAGTGCACATCTGACAATCATGTGACCGCCCAGATGTAAATTGATATACACATTTGCCATACGATCACATGAATCAACCAAACACTGAATCTGACCATCCGATCCCCTTCAGCTCCGAACTTTCACAGGTTCTTCCAAATACTAATAGCATTTGGTACTGAACTTGGTTTTATATACCTTTGCATCAGTTTTGCCATACCTGATCCTACCCGGTTGCAGCTATTGAGCTAGTTATAGTGGTTATGATTTGTTCAAGGTTCTGCACAAATTCTTATAGATTTGATTGATTATGTTGCTCTCCAGCTGGTGATCGTGGTTATCAATGATATTGGAAATGTAGATTTTGTTACAGATTGGATTATGATTTTGTTGAAAACGATCATAATCTTCACCTGTAGGCACGAGCCTATTGCCTCTTCTACCAGTCAGCTCCTGTATAACTCCAATTACTGCTTCATATCTGACCTTTAAGCCAACATAATGGATGTAATTGATGCAACCTGGGATATGATCAAAACTGGGATTTTGTAACTTAGAACTCTCTGAAAGTCTATGCCATACGATTGCCGAAACATTTGAAGTGAGAAATTGTGTTGTATTAATTCCCAAATAAAACATAATAAACTATTATGATTCATTTGTGATAACAAAAAATGATGTAGCAGACAGGGGAAATAACAAACTGCACAGATTAATCATATTACCGATTCTTTAATTTTATTTATTTAAAATGACACCTCAGTGACTTCTATGCAGATTATTGGCTTTAATCATGAGCACATCTAGATGTAACCAGTGACTACATTTATGGATAGCTATCAAAATGAAAATACAACATATAATTACCCAGCCGAAGGATGAATAATATAATATTGATTTATCCATGCCCAACTGTACTGGATTTGGTCATTTCAACCACTGGCCATCAGATCTGACAAGTCAGATAGGCCAACTTACATTTTGGATAGTGCAGTAATTCTGCTAATAGTACTACTGCTACATACTGGGAGGGATTTACATATCTGTGTGAAAGACAAAGATCTGCCCAGGCATCTTTGATTAATGTGATATTTGCTCAAGAAAACATGTCTATATAAAAGGCACTGAGACCAAGTCATCAACAATCCAGTGATCAAATCTAATCTAGTTGCATTGCTGAATGAATGCTGGTGCAAAACAGGTCCAAACACATTCAATGACTGCACCAGATGTGTTTTGGTAGATGACACTTTTGATGGTGTATTGTCCCCACAAATAAAAGCGACAAAAACATTCCATAACATGAGAACCTCTTCAACTCTTGTATAATGAAACTTTATCATGAGGCTGTGTTCATGAATCAGTATCAGGTAGTGATGATACTTGGTGTTTGCCAAAGGTATTCTGCCCTGTTAGTGGCACCCATCACAAAACACAGGCAAACACAAGTCTGTTGTTCATAGTGTAAAAAGACAAAATTTGAAAATCAATCACACATGATGTCATAATATTACCTGTTCCAAAAGATCACACATAGTCTCCCATGCCAGATACCACTATCCTACACACATGCACACAACCATTGCTTCTGAGCAAACAAAACCAGGGCCCAATTGCACAGAGCAATCTTAGTTACAATCAATCTTAGGCCCCTACAATCGCCATACAATTGCCCTAATCCACTTGCACAAAGCCGATCTTAGAGCGATTGTAAGGCGGCATGTATTTAAGATCGAACTCTTCAACGGTGGAGGCACGAATTTCTTAAACTCGACTCCCGTCTACAGTTGTCTGAAAGTGCGCATAGCATGCTGCGCAAATAAAAAGTGATACTGGTCCCAGCACACAATACATACCTCCCTCAATCGCACCTTGCAGAATTTTCATGAAAAAGTCCCAGAAATCTTAGAAGGAACCGATTACATGGACGATAGCATATATTTTTCTACATTCTAACTGTCTTGATTTATGAACTGAGAATGTGATATTGCAAACACAGAAATACCTACCCATGTTTTATGAAAATATTGAAATACGAAAAAATACATGAATAAATTTGAATCTAGATTTAGAGACTTAATTATGGAACTTAAAATAACAAATATAAACAGTATATCCTTATGATATAACACCTAAATGTATGATTTGCCAATGGTTGTCAATGAGACATTGTTTAATACGCAGCTGTTGGGGTGTGTGTGTGTGTGGACGGGGGGTTGGGGAAGGGTAAAATCCTAAATATATCCTAGAATAAAATACAATAAAATAATGGCTACAGAAGTGTTAGACACCATTCGCTATTATCCTTTCCTTGATTATCAAGAAGGTATGTTGTTTCACACTTATTCCAACATTGAATCAGGTGGGAATAGTACTTTGTGATATCGACTTGATCGTTATGTGTTTCACTACAGGAAATAACAACGTATCCGACGTTAAATCGGTTGTGCATTCTCCGTGTTGTTGAAGTGTCGAGGCGAACCACACAGTTTTATGCAACATAAATGCAATCTCCAAACGTAAAGCTGATTATTTGCGTGAAACAGACACTAATTTGAATGCCATTTCTAAAATGACTAAAATGATCTTAGCTCCTTACAAATGGTCTGGACCAATTGTAAGTTTTGATTGTAACTTACAATGATCTTAGCCTACAATTGCTTTGTGCAAGTAGATGGCGATTGTAACCGAAGCCTAAGGACTTACAATAATTGTAGCGCTAAGATCGTTCTGTGCAAGTGGGCCCAGGTCTAAACTTGTACCCTGCCCTTGATGGATGTCATGAAATTACATGTTGTGATAGCACTAACCTGTGATTTCACCTGCTAGTAAATCATAGGCTTCTATTGACAGTTATCTCTATGACTATTGCTGATGGGTGGTCAGCTAAATATCATAAATGCTGCTCAATTTCATGACATTTTGAAGCAGTGAGGAGTTCCATGAAACAGGTCTGCATACATATGTAGTAGATACAAACACAAATACCAACAACAAGAAGACATTTTAATTGCAGACATTTAAACACTTATGTACATAATTCTGAATTATTCTAGTCTGTATCTACAAGGAATGGTCAGGTTACAACAAGCACTACAGCACAGTAGGGCTTCTCTCATTCTTCTCAGTCAACAAATTTAGGGGGTGCTGGCTCACACAAAGCACTTTCCAAAGCAAGTCAAAGAATGAGCACAGAACCGTTCCTGTTAGATTTCATTGTTTACTCCAAGTAATGTAAAGCTGTTGACAAACAATGGTGTGCATGGGAAAGAGAGGGGAAAGTATTTAACAAGTATTTTATAAAATGGATATCCATGGCAGCCAGGTCCTCCCAATCCACACACAATCTCCAACAAAACTGACAGTCTTCATTTCATCAACTATGGCCAACATAAACATTTACTGTAATTTGTACACTGGCAATACTGAGCCTATGCATTGTAGTAATTATTGACAACCTTCATCCTCCTGCTAAATAGTATGGCTGTTATCATACATGATGACATTTTGTACAATCCTGCACTTGGATCTATCTGCCAGAAGCTGGAAACAAAATAAAGATATCAGGACTTCATACACAAAACCCACGAGTCTGGCAATTTCAACTACCAATCTTACTTCATATGATTCTTAAATACTGTCTTGAAGTTCATATATTATTAACAGCAAGTATAGCAATATATTTCATGCAAAAAACTTGAGGAACTTGTGTGGAAGTGTATTCTGAAAATGAGTAAACTGCACATGGCTCTGGTTTGACAATAGCCAATGACATACTGTGATCTGTCCTATGAGTCACAATGCTTACACTTCCCATCTGAAGAACTATATCCGGCATGACAATGGTGTGCACTTAGGAAACAAAAACATTACAAAAGTTACTACATTTTCAGTTTGAACATTGCTCAGAAATCTGCCAATGTGATTTTATTGTGTCAAGTGGTTCAAGCACGGTCATGAAAATCATGGACTGGGTATATGAATATGAAAAGATTATCTTCATTATCACAGATTACACCCATTTAACCTACTGAAAAAAGGGTTAACCTATGCACATCACTAAGCATGAATCCAATAAAAATGTTTTCAAATAGTTTCAACTGTAGGTTCAACACATTGTTTGTGATAGGATGAGGTCTTGAATATTTCTAGGTTCAAACTTTGTTCCAAAACTTGACATGAAAAACACTGTAAGTTCCTTATCTCCTACATCACATCTCTGGTTGATCTTGCCAACAACACTGGTTTAACACCACAGGTTTCATGAACAGATATCAGTCATTGATATTAATATATTTGATTTTCAGGAAAGCTGTTTGTAAATACAAATTTATATAGAAAATAACACAAATACCTGTAGTAACAAAAATGGAGCCACAAGGATCTGCAGCTCACCCAAATATTTCAGGAACATTACAGCACATAAAAAAATGCAGCAAGAATAAGCTGAATAGATAGCAGTAGTTTCCATTAATAATACATCCTCAAAGCTTATTGCTCACAGTCTTAATAAATAAAGGACCAAACTAACATAATGTCTACCATGGCAAATGGTGACTATACCTGTATACAAAGGCCAAAGGTTGACTTCAGCCAGGTGAGCTAATGCTGACATTTCCAATATAGCTGTAACAGTTGGTATCAAATTACACTTCTGTCAGTGCATGATACAGAAAGAGAAAGCTGGGATGATACACACCCAATATCATTTTCATGAATCCAAAGGTACAAGGAGATGTTGAAAATGCAGTTATTTTAGAAAAACAAGAGAAACTGAAGAAGAATCATCAAAGTTTGGTCAAAAGTAGAGACTGGACAAACAAATTAAACTATTCTATTCTGCCACATAACCCTTGCTGCATGTCCAATGTCATGATGAAAACAGAAATTACTGACTTTTCAAAAACATTTTTGTAAATGAGAGCATGTTCAGAGACTCCTTAGCCAAGATCATTGTAGTTGTTGAAAATGCAAAGGTTAATGAATGGACACACAACATGTAATGAAAAAACTTCATTTGGCTTTGTCAACTAGAATCCTTACCATGAATCATTTGAATACATAGTTCCTAGGTATTGTTTGAATATTCATGCTATCATTGTCATAGATCATTAAATGACTCAATAACAACATCAAAATGAGTATTACTATCTATGCAAATATGTGCACACATTTGATTACAACAAGCACTACATGTTAGTCAATATATTTTATTTTATGTAGAGAAAAATGAATGAAAACCTAACATGATAATCCAGAACCGTCATCATGCATTAGAAATATATGGACCATATTTGCAGCAATATGCCTAATTCCAAAAGAATACTTGCGAATAAATCCCAATAATGCATTTTCAGAAAGGTTACCAGGGAGCCCTTGCCACCACTGTCCCCAAAGCAGCATCACAAGATTTGAGTGAACAATAATATTATGTCAAAAGTACACACACATCTTAAAAACACACTCACTGAATCTCACTCCACACAGTACTAGACACACTTATACAAAGCATGCATTAATACATTTTGCCCAAACATTTTGCCTGAAAGCCTATGTTGTTCTTGTGAAGGGTGACGGCTTCAATTCATATATCCATTCCTGCACACATGCTTCATGCATAAAGTTGGTTACATTTCTGTGGTACAGTATGTTGTAATCCCATCTCACAAATAATGTGCAACAAAATGGGTATTCATTAAAAGCTGCAACTCATATAAAACTGTCACAGCATATCAATAATATAAGCAAACAAACCAAATGAACTGATGAGGGAAACAATGAAGGTCATGTGGTACTGCCCATTATTTTTGCAATACACAACCACAACATCTTCATTACCTTTTATGAATGATAGTACATAGATTTCCATTTTGATGCAAAGCTTCATAACAGACATTAAGTACACATTACAACCACCTTTCTGTCAAATCTAAATAATACATCATATGCAAGCTTTGGGGATAAAAACATTAATATTTCAAGAGTAAATGTTACCACACAGAAAAATTGGCAATAACATTTATTGACCTTGAGTTTTGTCCTGATGACATAATTTAATGTCCATTCTTTAATATTTCTGTAAACATTACTTTCGAACGCCTGGTGCAGTAATTTGTCATCATCTATGGTCTGTGATCATGATGTCTTCAATAAGCTTGAATCAACTAACAGAATTTTTCCATTCATACAAACTTACAAAGCATTCTTGTGAAGATGTTTTATGAAGTCAAGTTTTGTGTCCTGTATCCATTGTGTCTCCAATTATGTTGCTCTCACAACTTTAACCACTTTGATATTTATGGTCCATGAGAGCATTTTAGCCACACATACATGCCTGTAAAACTTAAATCAGTCGAAAATATTCATCAATTGTATTGCATGTCAATACGGAAACAGCCCCATTCTACCATTACTGAATGCACCAAAACTTTCCCCTGAGTAATACATAAACCATTTTGATACTGACATCAGGTGATAATTTGCTGACATGACCAATGAAAAACGACTTTTAAGCAGAAATGCTCATGTGTCAACAAAGCTAAATTGATAACAATGCTATAAGCACTCCTAGTTTTACAACATCACCTTCTTGTGAAACACATGTTCTCATGCAGCAGAAATTTGGAACAGAACATATCATTGCTCAAACTACTTACATAAGAAAGTCATAATTACTTTCCGTTAAATAACATCACCTCCAGTTGGCAAAAACGCATGGCCAATGCATCATACATTTGAAACAAATCTTCATTCTGGTAGCACTGATCTTTAATCTCAACCTTGAACTGCCTGGATATCATGTACCTTGACTCTCAATGTCATTAAATCAAACACATAGTCTCCAATTCATTTCATAAGTTAAATGACTTTCATCTGCATCTGACCTTAAAAACATAGGGCAGGAAATAACCATTAGAAAGAGCAATGGTTTGAAAATATCTGAACTTTTCCGAGATTAATATGTTATTTTTATTACGTATTTTTTTATAAAGGGACATTGACCTTACACAGAGTTCACCTGAAAGAAACCCCAATTTCAGGATCATGTATACCAGATTTCATCTGTAATAATCTACTTGTTGTGTACACAATCATTTTTTACAGAATAACCATGATGTCCACCCTCATCTAATCATGTTAACTAGCAATATTCCCCAGCAGAATTTAGAAAGTATATCAGGTATGACATAAGCTGAAACAGACCCTAATAGAGTTGGCTGCTCAATCGTATGTAGTGTTAGATTTCTACATATAGTGATGCCTGAGGAAAGGATTCAACAACAACCACATCACAATCATCTGAACTAAAGGTGTCACCATCATGAAAACATGCAAGCATATTTTTCAGCTTTACTTGTTTTATCAGTTCAGAGGTTTCACAGAGTAAAAAGGAAAATAATGCATTTTGAGAGATACTATGGGATTGATAAAGTGTAAAAGTCTAAAGAAGTTCAAAATTCATAATGTCATAAAACAAAAAAACCAAAACAAACAAAAATTGAAACATGTAAGTCTGATCTAACTACAAAATACCAAATATCAGGATGCTGGAGTGATGGTCATTAATAGTGGTTGATGTTTTGAAAAATCAGGTGTCATCACTGGAGGGAACAAACACCTGCAGTTACAGCATTGTTACCTATGGTTTCTGAAGAGAACATATATCGTGACGAACTGGCCATCCGTCTTATTGAGAAGGCTAGTATACTATCACATAGTGGTTCTTGTCATGGTGTGACTTCTCTTCTGAATGCTTGCTAACCAGTGGTCAACTGCCCACCCAATTATGTATAGATGTTAGGTACAAAACACGACATACAGTCTCTCTCTTAAAAATAATTGAAGAATATTGGTAAACAAGAATGTTTAACAAAATTGTTTCTACCTCCTTCAATCAGCCACACTTCCACTTTTGTACACTTCCTGATGATGAAACTATTTCATTTCTAAACTTGCAGGAAGCACACTGATAAAACATGCAACGTCCCTTGTTATGAAAAGCAAATGTCTGGACAACAAATTTGAAACCTTTTGTTTTTAATTCTTCAAGGTAACACAAAATATCTGTTATTTCAAGAAGATTTTTTCTTTTGATTTATAAAATAAAATACTGATTGAATAAAATTGACAAAGTCTTGATTTACAAGGAGATTGAACATCAAGAAATCTGAAGTTCAATCTCAACTACCACTGTAAAACAATCAATCATGCAGTGGATATAATTTACCTTAGATTGAAATATACAACACCTGACAAAATATAATTCAACATAACGTAACAATGTTTAATGTTAACTATATACCATCTTCATGCCTGTGACTTCATATATATGACCACACAAAACCCTTCATCAGCATTATGCATATCTTCCTCATCAGAAACAATCCTAAGGATTAATACTATTTTAAGTTGTCAGTCAGATATGTATGGATTTCATGTTTTCAAATGAAGTGAGAATCCAAACTATTGATAACTACTTCCATAAACTTTAAAAAGCACACCATACAATGGAGAATGTTCTACTGCAAATTTCTGGTCAACTAATAGCTTTTATTATCCCATGTGGATTTTTAGGACTGTCTTCTATTTCATGATAGAGATGATTGGACTAGGAACCTCACAGCATAAATAGAAACACACATTTTTAAAAAAGAAAATAATCAGCTTTTTGGCATTTTACAATAATCAAAGTAAACCTCAGTCTGATTCATTTATGCATCTTCTCCAACAGTAAACATATGTTGCAGTTTGCAAAATATTAATGAAAGTACAATGACAACATTTACTGATACTTCTGCCCAGTTTTCACATTCCACTGGAAATTAATATGTGAAAGCCTAAATGTTCAAAATGGCTAAGCAACTGAAGAAGTCTCAATGTAAGTGTGGCTGAACTACATTTGTTTTCCACAAGTTTCAAAAGCATTTATTTCTCTTGTAAGTTATCTGAATGGTTGTAAATTCCATTCATAAAATACCATTAGCTGAAGGGGATCATATCAAAATCTATACAAGTAAATTGAAGTTACAATTTTCTCATACAAACAAAGAGAACTGGATCTTAATACAGTGTGAATGAAATCACAGCCACAAATGTAACAGTAGGTCACTTGAGATGCTGCACAAAGCTTGTGTGTATCAATATGCTTTCTCAGACAGATGAATCTGAGCACAGCCTTGAATGTTTTTCCCTGTACACAACAGCAGCAGCAGCAGCAGCAGCAGCAGCACTGCCAGTATCCACACTGTGAGTGCAGCTGTATGGTGGAGTCTAGCCTCTTCTTCTACCAAGCTCACAAGTATCACCATAAATGTATTTCTCGTATTTCTCCTATTATTTGACTAGATCTCTGCAGTGCCTGAAACAAAAATTTAATATAGTTATCATTGTTAACAATTCAAATATTAACTCTTAAAATCATTGACAAAAATCCTCTATTTCAACTGTCATCACAGCTGACATTGAGGATCTCTATATTTTCTAAAGAAGTCCTCATCCCTGTTAGCTATCCCATAACTGTAATCAAGTTAATAGTCTTAATGTGCCCGATACTTTCGATAATGTGCAAAGTCAAGATAACATCACTTCTTTCCAATAATAACTATCAACCAAGCCACAGAAGATGTGTTACTTCTGATTACATCATTTCCAGAATTAACTGAAAGGCAATTAACTGTTGTTGCTTTCACTACATTCATTTCTAAACACTTGTCTGTTCCCCCTTGGCTCTTACTATTGCAAGCTACCACCATGGTGTTCTCCATTGCTATCAGAAACGAATGGATACTGCCATGACATTAGTACATAGCAGATTGCCCTCATCACCATACATGTGATGGGAGGCTCCTTCTCTTGAGGGAAACCATTCTTCTTGGTCTGTTGTCCCATCCATGTCAACACCCTATTCTGAGCTGGAAGTGTCTGTCTAAAGATGACAAAGAGAATGTTCTGACGATCAATCCATCATAATGCCTGGAGCATGTACTACCAATACCTCCAGTTCCTACAGAACCTCAGTTGGACAGAGGAAGAGGAAGTCTGATCCTGAGTGGAGTGGCGTGGAGTGGGGTTTAACGTCGTACTTAAGATTATTTTTGCTCATTTGACGACGTGCATGCATTTGTATGTGTGGCTGCTTGTACTAGCCCAGACTTAAGTGCTTGCTCACTGAGATAGCATGCCACAGCTAAGCATGAATACCCCACTCAACCACATTATACTGACTCCAAGCCGACCAGCTCTTATTGTACCCATTAATGCCGAGCGCCAGGCAGGGAGCAACAAGTACCATATTTTAACATCTTTTGGTATGACGTGGCTGGGGATCGAACCTGCGACCTTCTGCTCTCTTGGTGGACTCTCTAACCACCACACCATGGAGGCGGTCTGGAGTGGAGCGGAGCAGTCTGAGTGAGTGAGTGTGGTTACCAATATTCCAGTAATATCATGGCGAGGGGAGACCAGAAATGGGCTTCACACATTGTACCCATGTGGGGAATTTGAACCCGGGTCTTCAGCATGACCAGCAGATGCTTTAACCATTTTTTTTGCCTCTGATTTGTGATGAACCAGTAAGCTACAGAAACTGTAGCTTTTTCCTGATCTACTGGAAGAAAGCGTTACAGATACAAATTTGATGATCGAGGTTGTTATCTAAGTGAACAGTTTGGAATTCTGGCATCGAGGGTGAACATGGAGATATAGTGTTGGCATCCATGAAGTCTAAGCTGATTAACCAATTTCACATCCTGAGAGGGTTACTTAACATTCTATCTCAGCTTGTTGGGAAGTACAAGAAAGTCTTTGTTGAGGGTCTTACATTCTGTGATCGTATGTTTCTGATGTAATTTTCTTAAGAACTGAGCAGACTGGAGAATTACTCCCATGTCTGTGGGCTGTAGCGCTGAGTTTGTAACTGCCAGCTTAGTTTCTTCAAGATCACCTGGCTGGGTTACAAGTGATGGACGATGATGAAACAAGTAGCTTGTATCTGGTCCTCGAGAATCATGTAGTGATTATGTGCATTCAATTTGGTCATAAAACATCCTCATATTGGTACCATAGTATTTGAGAAACTAGTAAACAATGACAGGATTTTGGATGAACTTGAGCAATTATTTCCATGTCAGGCATGGCTCTCCTGTTCCCGTAGAGTACTGTATTGTAATGCTGTATATTACCATAGACAAGCCCAATTTTAGGACCAAAAATAGCAGTCTGTAGAAGGGGGTCGGTTTATCTATGGGTTACACTTTCGTCAAACTCTTTTTCAGGGGGTTAAAAAACGACATCGTATCGCTGCGCATGAACAAACAGACAAGAGAAGAAGACTTTGTCAGTAAAGATTTCAAATTTGCAATTAAACATTACTTGACAAGATTATTTACCTATTCAATTCTAATTTGTTTTTGATGTGGGGATTAAGATTACCATGTGTAATTGTCTTGTATACAGCGCCGGAAATAGGAATCAGCTGTGTACACCTGTCCCGGTGATTTAGTTAAAACATACCCAATAATATAACGAGATGAATTCTGATGTAGTGATCTTAAAAACATAGTATCTGAAACTATTATTTTACAAAGAGAAATATATTCTAGCATTGCGTTGTGTTAATTGCTGGTTTTGCTCTATAAATGTAAAATATTTATAATCATGACTAAGGTTAGGAGACAGCCGGATAGTTTAATGTTATCTTGGTTTACAAATCAAAACCAATGACTGCCAAGTAATTACATTGGCAGTACATCATAATGTGCCAATCTATCTGATTTGATGCTGCTGAATAACTAACATTTGTTCACAGAGAAACCTTCACATATACTTCAGTATCATCATGTTTCAAAAATTCAGTATTCTCCCTTGACATTGACATTACTATACTCAGTAGCAAAAAAACCCCATCAGTACGAATTCAAACTAAGGTAGGCACTGTAATCAAATCATTACAGAAACTGACATAATAAGCGGATTAAAAACATTTTTGTGTGTGGGTGATGTGTAAGGGACTGTGTCGTGAGGTACGATCATCAACTCCTCTCTGACGAATGCTCTCGGCGGTCCGTCTTTCAAGTAGTACAAGTTCGGTTCGCCGTCTTTGATGTCGACAAGGTCTACGTTGTACGTTTTCATGGACCATATCGGATCGGTGGCGCGTTTTCTGCTGTCTCCCTCGTATTCTCCCGGCTGGTACAAGTACCTAACGCTGACCCGGTCCGGTAATGTTTTCTCTGTTTTATCGCGACGTGCTGCTGCCAACGACGATTCGACAGATTTCATTTTGATGGCTTCGACGGGTCTCTTGCCCACGAGTCTGGTGACTTCGTTGTTGATGACATCCACCACTCGCGGTAAGCGTACGACCCATTCCGTGTTTCTGTTTCCGGGATCCATTAAATCCTGCGAGTATTGGTGCGAGAACAGGCGTTCGGCTAGGGTGCGATTGAATCTCTCAACGATGGCTTGGCTACGGTGAGCTCCCGCTATACCTCGTCTCACTTGGACTTTGTGCTTGGCCAGCAGCTGTGACACGGCTCCCATGAACTCGCGTCCGGGATCGACTTGCAATACGGTAGGCCATGTCAAGCGACTGCGTTTGTATATGCGTTCAAAGGCTTTGGCGACTTCGTTCGAATCTTTAGTTGTCAACGGTTCGGCTTCCTTGTAGCGACTGGCGACGTCGACGACGGTCAGGGCGTACTTGTAGGTTTTGCGCCTCACCCTGTCGTGAGGGAGAAACAGGAGGTCGGCTTGTTGGAGGCGATTTGACGTTGAAATGTCGAATTTTCTTCTGGGGATGTATCGAGGCGCCGGCAGGTAGACTTGCCAGATGGCTTGTTTTTTAAGCCTGGTTTTGGCTTTTTCTTCCGAGACTCGAGCGGCTTTGGTGAGTTTCGGCATGGCGTCTGCGCCTTTCCAGTACCCTCGCGGGTTGTAATAAATTTTCTCCATGATATATGTACGCATGTGTGCGTAAGCGTTCAATTATTCGATACGCGTTTGTGCCCGTACGCGTAAGTGGTGACTCCGTCGTTGGCGATCCATCGTTTCGTGTCCATGGGAGACAGCGAGGTCTTGTTGATTCTCAGTCCGTATATCCTGTGTCCATCGCTTCTCAGCATGTTCATTTGGTGTTTGAACGTTTTATTCTTGAACAGGGCTTCCTTGAATCTGGCGTGCTTGATGTGTTTTTTCACCACGTGTTTTTTCACGCCTTTCGCCTTTCGGATTTCATCGTCGTCGGCTTTCTTGATGGAATACATCTTGGGTCTCAAGCCGACGTACTCGGCGATCGGCGTGCCCGCGCATTCGTCCTTCATCTTGCCGAGCACTTTTTTGTTGACTTGGCTGTGCATAGGGTGATCTTTAGGGTAGTCGCTGGTGTCGTACAGGTGCATGTGTTTCTTCATGTCCTCGTACACGTCCTCGGTGTGAATTTCCATCAGCAGGGAATCTGTGTCCGTGTACAGCACTTCGCACCTGTCGCCGTACTGCTTTTTCAGCTCGTTGTAGTAGAAATCGTACATCAAGTGTTTGGATAAGTCGAGGATGCTCATCCCCACGTAAACGGGCCGGTTGAATTTGATGTGGCTTTTGTTCATGTGCAGCGCTGCCAAGTCGTCGTCGAATATCTTGCTTCGGTTGAACGCCGGGCTGGCTATAAGTTTCCTGAGTTTTTCTTCCTCGCTGGATCTGACTAATTTCACGTTAACACGTTTTCTCAAATTCTCCATCGTCTTGCCGAACACCGAGTTGTTCATGAGCTTGTACAAGTTTTTTCGAAGTCGCTCGTGGCTTGTTTTCGCAGATTCGTGTTCAACCGAATGTAAGGTTCCATCCATGGACTTTGATCGAACTGGAGCGCCCTGTGTATTTTCGTGAGTTTCATTCCCAGCGACAAGTACAGCTGCAGATTGCGATAGTGAACGACGTATTTTGACTTGTTCATCAAGTTCGGCACGAGTTTTTTCGACGTTAGCCAGCTTGTTGTTTCCCAGCAAGTTTCGTTGATATTCGGACATCCAGTCCGGGTTCACCGTCAATCGTTCGGGAGCTAGCGGATAGCTGTTGTGCGATTCGTGTAGTTCTGCGGGATAGTCCAAGTCCACTTCGAGCATGTAACCTTTTGTTCGAATCCGGCACGATGCTATTCACGTCAATCATCTCGGGTGAGGAGACCCATTCGAATCCCCCGGTGGGGAGATACTGACTCATGGCCCAGCCGTACAGGTTGTTGGCGTCGAGATAGAGTATGTGTTTGGTCGGTTTGCCGGGGTCGTGACCGGGAACGTACTTGTTGTTGGCTTTGGGGTATCGTTTGGAGGTCATGGAAATCCCGCCTCGCAAGCCTTTCTCAGC